TATTACTCACTGCTTCCATACAATTTCAGGCGATTTTAAATAATAAATGGTTTAATCTAGGCTTTCCTTTCCCAAAAGAATATCCCTGCTTAACTTTCGTAACGCCAGAGGTTAAGGAAATGAGTGTGATGACAAAAAGTAATGGTGACAGGGAGTCTCCCAGGAAAGTTAACCCCTGTAAATGTTGAGTCCCAAGTGGTGACCATCTTGAAAAACAAGTTTGTCTTCCAATCTTTCAAACTGTGCTTCAGACTATAATATTCTGGAGCCCTGAATAAGTTCTAAGGATTCCAGCATCCACCTATGTGGCACCATATCATATGCCTTCCGAAAATCAATCCAGGCCATGCTCAAGTTACTTATGCCTTTTACAGTTGCGAATTACCGCCTTGTCGATAAGTAACTAGTCTTTTGTTCTACGGGATCGCTTTCCACAGACCTTTTGTTCCTCTAGCAGCAGATCCTGATTATTTAGACGTATATACAATTTATCAGAGATTATTATTGGTAAAGGAGCTTCCACAGTAAGTATAGGCATGCAGTTGATCGGTAGTTTCCAACTGCATTGCCTTTGTTTGGGTCTTTTTGAATCAATACGTCCTGCACTCAGCCACTCAAGAGGGTATCTTTTCAGTCACCAAGCACTGATTAAGTTCCAAGGTTATCATTACATAAAGGCCAGTTAACCTTTTCAACCAAAAACTGAATTCCATCCAAACCGGGGACTTCCAGTTGGGCATTTTCCTTATGTTGCTACTTACATCTTCCTTAATGATACTTATATCACTGTATTTTAGCACCCGTTTTATTTCCTGTTCAACTTGCTTTAGACATTCTGCACTTTCGTTATGCTGAATTGGATTGTCCCATAAGTTGCTCCAAAATTCTCTGCATCTTTTTCCTGTTCCCATCAAATTCTTTGTACAACACCTTTTGATTATTTCTAAGTAATCTATTCTGTTGATACTGAGTGGTTCTTGAGACGAATCCTTTTAATTTTTCTTTCTTGTCAGATTCTCTGCTTCAGTTCTTCCATGACAGTCTCAAATCCTTTGTCTTTAAGACTATAACTTCTTTTTCAGATTAAGCTTTTCCTGTTGTTTATCATTTATCCAGTTGCCTTTTGAACCATGCTTCAATAGGCTGAGGTCTTTCCTGAGTTTACCAATGTCATTTTCAATACGTCTCTTCCAAAAAGGGTCCTTTTGCTTTTGTTCTCTCTCTCTTTCCATCAACTCTTTCACTGACAAGTATAGCTGCAGCTTTGATCACGTCTCGCATGCCATCAATGATGCTTAATCTTATATTGACCAGAATTTCAATAATTTTCTTTTTCTCAGTCTAAACTCAACAATATCTTTTGTTCTCAACGATGATACATTGTCCAGATCTGTTTGGAGAATTTCCTTGAATCTGCTTACCAATTCATTATCTTCTTGTCTGACTTCTGCAAACTCTGCAATTTAGTCGTTTTTCATCTCGCTGCCTCACATTGGATTCAATTTGCTCTATTTCAACTTCGTCTCTCTTCCATATGACTTTCCCTTGGAATTAACTGTTCATCTAAACTTCCTTGTTGCACTCTGTTCAATTCAATTGCAGTGAATTTCTGGGTTTTATGTATACTTCTGACATGACATGCTAGATGCCGCTTTGAGATTTCAAACATTCCAAGATTTATCCTCTCGTGATGCATCCTCTGTCTGTAAGCTCCCTTTCCGTCCATTTGAGCTTTCAGATAACGTGCTATAGCTTGCTGGTTTTCCTTTGTCCATATATTTATATTATTATTATTATTATTATTATTATTATTATTATTATTATTATTATTATTATTATTATTATTATTATTATTATTATTATTATTATCATCATCATTATTATAGTTGTCAGTATCATTATTACTATTATGATTATCTTGATTGTTATTATTCAATGTTATTATTATTTTATTATTATCGTATTATTAATATTATTTATTATTATTATTATTGTTGGTTTATTGTTGTTGTTGTTATTGTTATCATTATAATTATTCTTTTTACCATTATCATTATTATTATCATTATCATGTTTATTGCTATTATCATCATAATTACTGTCGTCATTTTCATCATTATCATTTTTATTATCATCATTATAATTATTTTAATTATCATCATTATAATTATTTTAATGACTATCATCATCATTATCATAATATTTATTACTATTATTACTATATTCTAATCATCATTTTTATCATTGTCATCATTATTATTAATATTACTATCACTGTCATTATAGATATTATCATTACTATCACTATTATTATTATTACCAGTATCATTATTATTATTATTATTGTCCTTATTTTTCCATCATTATCATCATTATTATCATTACTATCATTCTTATCATTATTATTAACCTTATTATTTGTAGTAATAGTAGTAAGCCCTACTAGTAGTATCATTATTATTATCATTGTTGTTATATCATCCATATTATCATTTTTGTCATTACAATCATCATCACCATTGCCATTACCATCACCATCACCATCACCATCACCATCACCATCACCATTACCATTACCATTACCATTACTATTACCATCACCATCACTATCACCATTACCATCACCATCATTACCATTTCTATTCGTAAACAATGAGAGCAAAGACAGTGCTATAAACCCGTTCACAAATAAAGCTTCATTATTGTTTGATGAAGATTCCTTAAATAAGTTCTGAGCAGTATAAAGAACACGACTAAGAATCGAAGTGGAATGGGAATAGGGAATTTGGTAGTTAAATAATACGAGAAATTGGAATTGCAGTTGGCGGGGTCTTGATTATGGCAATTTTCAACCCCCAAACAAAGAGGTGCCAGACAAAGGCAAGAAGAGAGAGACAGGAAAAGAATAAAAAGTAAGACAGAGAGACGAAAGAAATGAAGAAAAAAGAAAGAAAGAAAGAAACCAAATAGAGAGAAAAGAAAGAAGAAAGAAGGAAGATAGAAATGAAATAAGAAAGAAGGAAAAAAGAAAAGAAAGAAAGAAAATGAAAAAAAAAAAAAAAAAAAAAAAGAAGATAGGAAAAAAAAGAATCAAAGGAAAGAAAGAAAATAAGAACACGAAAAAAAATTAAAGAAAGAAAACCCGAAAGAAAAAAAAACGAGAGAAAGAAAGAAGAAAACCAAAGAAAGTGAAAAAACACGAAAAATAAAAACAAGCAAACAAAGAAAACGAAACAAGAGACAGGAAAGAAAGAAAAACAAACTTGTCCTTGTTTATGACAGTTCCCCAACAAGAGCCATTCCACAAGGGGTCCGTCGCTCGCAGGCCAGTGACGAAGCATTCATCATTGCCAATGCTAATTAGACTAGACAATCACTTGAGGGACTCGGCTGGGTTGAGTGAAGGCTCGCGTGACCTGGCCTGACCTCGCCTGTCGCTCTCGCCGCCCTCGCATCTCTCCTATCGCTCGCTCCATCTCTCTCTCTCTCTCTCTCTCTCTCTCTCTCTCTCTCTCTCTCTCTCTCTCTCTCTCTCTCTCTCTCTCTCTCTCTCTCTCTCTCTCTCTCTCTCTTCTCTCTCTCTCTCTCTCTCTCTTCTCTTCTCTCTCTCTCTCTCTCTCCTCTCTCTCTCTCTCTCTCTCTCTCTCTCTCTCTCTCTCTTCTCTCTCCTCTCTCTCTCTCTCTCTCTCTCTCTCTCTCTCTTCTCTCTCTCTCTCTCTCTCTCTCTCTCTCTCTCTTCTCCCTTTCAAAGCACGTCGCTCACATATTGCTATTTTTTCTGGCTGGGGAGAGGCTTGGAGGGTTTCAGTTTTTCTTCTTTTTGTTGTGTCTGTTTTTCTTCTCTCTCTCTCTCTCTCTCTCCTCTCTCTCTCTCTCTCTCTCTCTCTCTCTCTCTCCTCTCTCTCTCTCTCTCTCTCTCTCTCTCTCTTCTCTCTCCTCTCTCTCTCTCTCTCTCTCTCTCTCTCTCTTCTCTCTCTCTCTCTCTCTCTCTCTCTCTCTCTCTCTCTCTCTCTCTCTCTCTCTCTCTTCTCTCTGTCTTTTCTTTCTCTATCCCATCCTATCTCTGCATCAGCCTTTCTATTTTCTTCTTGATTCCTCTTTCTTTCTCTCTTCTCTCCTTCATCCTTTTCCTCTGCCTCTGCTATCTCTCTCTCTTCCACCTCCTTTTTCTCTATAACTGTCTTCCTTTCTTTTCTCTCTCTCTGAACCCCCCTTTCCGCTCTCCCCACTTATCAACTCCACATTTATCTATCTATCCATCTCCATCCTTCGTTATCTTCTCCTCATTTCAACTCTTGACAGCTCTTCATCTCCCGCTCCCCCCCCCCCGTCTCCTGTCCCATCGATTCCAGCCTGCAATATACCCGAGATAAATATTCCGTTTTTCCTCTTTGCCTCCTTTATTCCTCTTCTCTCTCATCTTTATTCCTCTTTGTATCTTTCTCTTTATTTTCTCTCCTGTTCTTTCTCTCCCTTTATTCCTTTCGCTCACCTCCCGTTTCCTCTTATATCCTCTCTCCTCTCCATTCTTCTCGTTCTTTTCCCTCTTTCCTCTTGATTTCATTCACTCTCCTCTTTTTCTTCGCTTCACTTCTCTTCTGTTCCCTCTCTCTCTATTCTTTTCTCCTCTTGCTTCACTCCTCTCCTCTCTTTTTCTCTCCTTTCCTCTTCTCTTCTCTCGTCTCTTCTCCTCTCTTCTCACGTCTCTTCCTTCTTCGCTTGTCTCCTCTTCCTCTTCTCTCTTCTCCTCTTACTCCTTCTCTCCTCTTCTCTTCTCTTTCTTCTCTCACCTCCTCTCATCTCCTCTTCTCTCTTCTCTCACCTCCTCTCCTCTCGTCTTCTCTCCTGTCCTCTCTTGTCCTCTCCTCTCTTCTCTCACTCCTTCTCGTCTTCTCTCCTCCTCTCTCTCTTCTCTTTCTCCTCTCCTCTCCTCTGCCTTCAACCCCGTGGTAGTTCATCAACCCAGATGGATCGGCTGAGGTTGCGGGTATTGATCCCTGCTAGCCCTTTGCCACCACTTGGCCAGTCTCTGACACCACTGCCCTGCTTGTCCCTCTGACACCACTGGTTTGCTTACCTCTCTGACACCTGTTTGCTTGCCTCTGACACCACTGGTTTGCTTGCCTCTCTGACACCACTGGTTTGCTTGCTTCTCTGACACCACTGGTCTGCTTGCCTCTCTGACACCACTGGTTTGCTTGCCTCTCTGACACCACAGGCTTGCTTTCCTCTCTGACACCATTGTCCTGCTTGCCTCTGACACCACTGGTTTGCTTGCCTCTGACACCACTGGTTTGCTTGCCTCTATGACACCACTGACACGGATGCCTCTCTGACACCACTAGCCTGCTTGTCTATCTGACACCACTGGTTTGCTTACCTCTCTGACACCACTGGTTTGCTTACCTCTCTGACCACTGGTTTGCTACCTCTCTGACACACTGGTTGCTTACCTCTCTGACACCACTGGTTTGCTCTGACACCACTGGTTTGCTTACCTCTCTGACACCACTGGTTTGCTTACCTCTCTGACACCACTGGTTTGCTTACCTCTCTGACACCACTGGTTTGCTTACCTCTCTGACACCACTGGTTTGCTTACCTCTCTGACACCACTGGTTTGCTTACCTCTCTGACACCACTGGTTTGCTTACCTCTCTGACACCACTGGTTTGCTTGCCTCTCTGACACCACTGGTTTGCTTGCCTCTCTGACACACTGACACCACTGGTTTGCTTGCCTCTCTGACACCACTGGTTCGCTTACCTCTCTGACACCACTGGTTTGCTTGCCTCTCTGACACCATTGGTTTGCTTGTCTCTCTGACACCACTGGTTTGCTTCTCTGACACCACTGGTTGCTTGCTCTCTGAACACCATTGGTTTGCTTGCCTCTCTGACACCTCTGGTTTGCTTGCTTCTTTGACACCACTGGTTTGCTTGCCTCTCTGACACCACTGGTTTGCTTGCTTCTCTGACACCACTGGTTTGCTTACCTCTCTGACACCACTGGTTTGCTTACCTATCTGACACCACTGGTTTGCTTGCCTCTCTGACACCACTGGTTTGCTTGCCTCTCTGACACCACTGGTTTGCTTGCCTCTCTGACACCACTGGTTTGATTGCCTCTCTGACACCACTGGTTTGCTTTACATTTGACCCGCTGAAACGGCTTCTCTGACACCAATGACCCGGGTGCCTCTCTGACACCTTACCCTCTGACACCACTGACCTACTTGGGTCTGACATCTGACACCATTGGCCTACTTACCTCTCTGATACCATAGGTCTGCTTGCCTGACACCCGTGATCGGTTTGCCTCTCTGACATGTGACACCATTGGCCTACTTGCCTCTCTGACACCACTTGTCTTCTTGCCTCTCTGGCATGTGACACCATTGGCCTGCTTGCCTCTCTGACACCATCGACGTGCTTGCCTCTCTGACACCATTGGCCTGCTTGTCTCTCTGACATGTGACACGTTATTCCTGTTTGCCTCTCTGACACCATCGGCCTCCTTGCGTCTCTGACACCACCGACGTGCTTGCCTCTCTGACACCACTGGCCTGCTTGCCTCTATGACACCATTGTCCTGCTTGCCTTCCTGACACCATTGACCTGCTTGCCTTTCTGACACCATTGTCCTGCTTGCCTTCCTGACACCATTGTCCTGCTTGCCTCTCTGACACCACCGGCTTACCCGCAT